CGGTTGGCGACTCAGCGTCCCGGTTCCCTCCGTGCAGCTGACATTCCTAACAGAAGCACATCGTTTCGTTTTTCATTCTTGCAGAGAAGCGGAACACCTTCCAAGCTGGCGGGAGCAATGGTGCACATGAAGAAAGGCGAGCTGGCCCCGGAGGAGAAGGAGCTGCTGGAAGTCATCGGGAAAGGTGCGGTGCGGAGGGGGCCGCGCGTACCCACCTGGCGGGGGCGTGGCGGGGCAGCGGGTCCGGGCGCTAGCGGGGGCCGGGGAGAAGCGCTCGTCGCTCCGCCCGTCGATTCCGGAGCTGGAGCGTGGCCCGGAGGAGAGCGAAGTTTCAGGCCCGGGCTTGGAGCGGCTCTGGGGGACCCCGATTCCCTCCGCCCTCCGCGCCCTGCTGAGGTGCGCGCAGTGTGAGCCTCGGAGGCCGTGGCCTGGTGCCGCCAGGCTCCCGGGTGGGGATTCGAGGGCCCTCTCGACTTCCGGAGGCCCCAGAGCTGAGCCCCGGCCCGTCCCGTCTGCGGCCCCGCCTCGCCCGGGTGCAGGGAGCGCAGGGTTTCTGCAAGGGGGTGCAGAACGAGGCTGCACTTTTTCCGGAAGCCCCGGCCGCCGCTGGCACCTGCAGAGAGGCAAGGGGAGCGGCGAGGCGTCCGTATCCACCCTCAGCCCGCGAGATCCGGACTTCGCGGCCTCCCCGCTCTCCCGGCGCGGGCTCCACTTCCGCCGCGCGGAGCCGCTGCGCGGAGCCATGTTTTCTTCTCGGCCCGGCGGACTTCCCAGAGTTGCCCGGCGAGTCCCGTTACCTGGCAGGTGACAGCAGCGTGACCGTGCTCTTGGCCGGCGTGGTGCTGCGAGCTTGATCAGAGCGCTTGAGATACAAGAGAAGCAAAGCCACGTCCTTCCCTGTAAAGACACGTGGGCCTGACCTTGCAGCGCGAGGTTCCCAGCTACCGGTCTCTTTTTTTTTTCTAAGTAGGCAAGCTCAAATCTGGAATCCCATGGCACAGGGCAAATTTATTATGCACAGCACGGAAAATTCGAAGGTAAAAAAGAAAAAAAAAAAGCCATTTTTAAGCTCAACAGGTGAACCAGCTGAGCCCATTTCATTAGATCCAAAAAACTTATGCCTGTCACAGCTGGGTTTGTTGTGACACGTGTTTGGAATTGTACCGCTTTAGTTGGGATTTTTGTTGGAGCTGCAAGGAGCTTGCTGACCTATTTGGCGTTGTAGAGTTTGCCTTCCTCGGGCTTCTGGGTAACTTCTCCCTGCCTTTGGTAGCACAGGGATTCTGTGGATAACTTCTCCCTGCCTTTGGTAGCACAGGGATTCTGTTCTAGGAACTTGTGGGCCCCGGTCCTTAAGTAAGACAAGTACTGTGCTGGGTAGTGGAGAAAGAAAAGGAACAAAGGACTAACTCAAAGTCCACCAGAAGTGAGGACACTGATTTTAAACAGGCCAGAGCTTTCACTTGTGCACTTAGCAATGAAAAACCAGTGAATGGCTTTATAAATTAGGTCATTGGAAAGGGAGAGAGGAGTTCTTGGATAGAGTCTGATGTGTCCACTAGTTTTCATTCTGAAGATGACATAAAACAGAATTAATGTGCAGTTACTGTCAACAGTGTTGTGGTGTTTCAGGGCCCACATCGCACATCAAGTTGCGTGAGTGCAGAGTTTTCTTTTGCCTCCCTTTTTCTGGGTTAGGGAAACTGAGGATCAAGCCCAGAATCAGCTCTAAGTAGGCTGGGGGTATAGTTCAGTGGCATAAGCGCCTGCCTGGCACACACAAGGTCATGAGTTCAATCCCTGTACCAGAATCTGCTCTGAGTATATCACCACCTATGTACTTGAGGCAGACTCTCAGTAAATCACTGATGCCCAGGCTGGGCAGGAACTTGCAGTTAACCCCGTCCTTAGCCCATAAGAGTGCTGGGTTCCCTGGCTTGTGCCTCCACACCTGGCTGTCTCATCACTGTCATTGGCCCAGGCCAACGCAGAAAGAACTGAGATGATTTTAGTGTGTGATACGTTCTCAAATGAATGTCTGTGGGACATGACTGTCCTCTCAAGAAAAGTTAGTAGGAGTTACGAGGAGATAACTATGGCTCACGGTGGTTGCACATCATTCCAACAGGCATAATTCTAAATCCTTTACATGTGTTAATGCATTTAATCTTGATGAACTAGAATATACTTTCAACCTCTAACATGAGATACAGCATGGAATATAGCTCCAGAAGTCTGAGTTGAAATCTTAACCCGTTACTTACTGGTGATGTGGTCTTGTGTAACTTGCCTTCCTGGAAACTCAAGTTCTCTATATGACAAATGGGAGTAATCATAGTATCTACCTCACAATGTCGTGGGGATAGAGAGAATCCTAGGAAAGCATTTAAGATAGTGCATTTCCTGTTGCTACAGTAAACATGGCAATTTCCACCTTTATGGACAAAGAAATTGAAGGGGGAGAGTGTTAAGAAACTTCACTATTTTGAAATCCATGTTATAAGTAGAAGTCCACTTTTTCAATGTTTATAGCTGTATGTCTGCGATTATATTGAAGTCTATATAGCTTTTAAAATTAAGGCACTTTATATATATTTTTACATTATTTACATTTCTTTGCATTATGGGTTTTAACATTTTTTATTTATTGTATTTGACATTACAACGACTCACAAGCCAGTCTATAACGTGGCTATAGATTTCCTTGAAGTGTCCATATTTGGGGATCATACTAAATATTCAAGTTCATCTGTATTTGGGGACTTGGGTACAAGTCAGTGGTAGAGCCCTTGCTTAACATGCTGGAGGCAGTTGGTTTTAGCAGTACTGCAAAAGCAAGTCTCCAAGTGCCTGAATCTCCTTGTTTTCTGATGGAATGCCAGAAGCGGAGAGCCACGAGTTTCTCACTTCAAATTTGTTTTGGTGACATCTGCTTGTCTTCAATAGGGACCAGTGGTCTCAGTCCAGGTGCCAGACATGTGACAGTGAATTGTGCTGCTCTGAACATAAAATAACACCCTACTATGCACGGAAGGCTTACCAGGTGCCCACATTAGAGCAGGTGCTTGGTCCTCCTCAGAGCCCTGTAGGATTGGTCCCACTACCTTTGTTTCATAGATGAGGAAATAGGTTTGGTAGATCTTGTTGAATTTCATCGCAGTCCTGTGAGGGGTGGGTGTGGAAGAACAAAGGCGGAAGGAGTGAAAAGATCACTCTATGTCATCTTTCAGCTGAAGTGACAGTTTACTCAGGTAAATTGGTTAGCCCCACCCTAATGAAGCAGGTTGGGTTTTCTTCTTTAATGGCTTGTGTTAGCTACTTTTTTCATTGCTGAGACAAAATACCTGACACCCAAGGCAGGGTGACATGGCACATGAGGCGACAGTGCATGACAGTAGAAGACTGGAGAAGCAAGGAGAGGAGGGAGAGCAAGCCTTTTCAGCCCCTTACACAGCATGCAGGCTACCTGCCCTAGGGTGGGTGTAGCACTTCCACCGCAGCATTGGGCTGTGAGTCATTCACAAACTCTAGATTCAGGCCTCTGTGACAAACACACCCCCATGCCTATATGAGGCTTTAGGGGGATACCTAGATGCAAACTATAACACAATTGGATACATTTTCAAAAGGGAAACAGACCATATTGCACTCACTGCTTTAGATCTGGTAATTTCTGTCTTCCATCGAAGGTAAAGTTGGCCCATTGCACAGCACTTGTACCTATCCCCCACCTTAAGAGTGAAATCAGGTTTAACCCAATTCCCTCCCAGAATAAAGCAGCTACACTTTAAAACTGAATTGCCAAATACTGTATAGGAGAATACTATGCATAAGAAAGACAGGAAGTCAAAATCCTTCTATGTAAGCCATGTGTTTTATATTTCTCTGCTATCCTGGACCATCTGTAGCTTTATCTTGATGTCATTAAATTAGGAAGACCAAATTAGAATTCATCAAAAGTTTTTCCTTTTGGGGTATTTTGCTTACCTATTTTCCAAAATCTGCATTGATTCGATGGAGCCCAGGCTGTTTTAGAGTTTTTTCTGATCCTGCATTTCAAAAGGTAAACATTAAGCTACTAAGTGGGGTATGTGTGTGTGACAGAGACAGAGAGATAGTAGCAAATATGTGTATTAGCTCTCTGCCACTGGCTCCTCCTCTGGAGCTTCCATCACCAACCTGAGCACTAGAGGCACTACTAGGTGCTTTTTTCTTCTTCTGTTACTGGTGTCTGCTAAAGAATTGTTTGGGGGTGAGTGTGAGTGTAAATTCTTTCTATACCTGGAGTCAGAAATGAAGTACTGAGTAAGAATTTATTAGGAGAAAATAGCCATTTTTTCCTACATTACAACATGTCATTATAGTATTTTCTTTTTTAAGGTCTCTGACCAGGCAGATTAGATCGTTGGCCACTGGGAAGGATTTCACAGAACTAGCCACCTGTTCTCTGATGATTGAATGTTTCTGATTATAATCTTTATCGTCCCCTTGACGTGTTTAAAACCTCTAGAGCCATTTTCCCTCCACTGCATAAACTGCAGAAAGAAAACTTCTGTTCTCAGTAGAGTGTGTCACTCAGCTGAAGCGTCCTCCTGAAGTGTGAGAATGGGACACAGGAATTTCCGTTCTGTTTTAATTCTTCTTGGAACTGTTTGAGAAAGGCCATAGTGTAAGTCACAGGTGTGGGTAAGGTTTCATGGAGCGCTTGCTCCTGGGCCTGAAAGCGCCCCTCCGCCCTTTCTCTTGCAGCATGGGGACAGAACCTGGGATTTGGAGCAGGTGGTGGGAGCTCTGCCCTGCTCTTCTAGTCCGTGATCCTAGCTGCTTTCAGATGGGCTTCAATGTCTGAAAAAGGCACTGTTTACAAAAATAGCTCCTGTCCTACTCCAGGGACACGTAGATCATTCTCTTGACATTTTCCCAGGGAGCCGGGTCTCAGTACCAGTGAGACACTTCTGTTCTTATCTGTTGGTGAGGACGACAGAGGCAGCTGAGTTCTACGCCTCGCCCTTCAGTCTGGAATATGGGCAGAATTTGGTTCATTCTCCAGCCATGATTCGGAGGGAAGAAATAACCTTGTCAAGGGTTGCTCTTAGCCTGTCACGTTCTTCTAGAGGAGAAGCTTGTCTCCTTTCTCTCTGAGTACATTCAATTTCATTGTCGTCTTCCCAGTCAAACCAGAACTATTTGGCAGAACATGTAGCCGTCATGTATTAATGATGATAATAGAAACATTCTCTCTCCCAACCGCTTGTGTCTGCCATTATCCCTCTCAGAAAACTGGAAAAACCTGATAATTATGGCCCAATGACGACTGCTTTCCAAATTTACAGAGAACTGACCTTCAGGTTTAAGTATGATCACTGTCAGTAGGGTGGTCTGAATTCTGACCATGGAATATTTCTACACACTGCCAGGCTTTACCCATGCTTCAGTGTCCAAACCAAGCTTTCTATAATCAACCTACCATCCATTTCACGAGACCTAGTGCTGAGAAATTATATAACTACTGCCTGCAATTTTGGATTCCAGGTTTTACATTGACTGAAATTTCAGCTTTAGATGTTGGTTTGGATTAGATTGGTTTCACTGTTATGTCTTATGCTTTTGGTTGTTTTTTTACTGCCAAAAAGAAAACGTAGCCAAGTTAATATCATTTAAGGTCAGTGAGAGTACAAACAAGATGGAACTATTTTTGTTTTTATAAACCTTTTACCTTGGACAGTTACTTTGTAAAACAAATAGGGTTTGTGAGTGGATGCTTTATTTCTTAGCAACTGAACCTAGTCCTAATTTTACAGATAACCCTTTAAGGTTTGTTGTATGAATGCTTGATGTATTTTTTCTTATTCCAGTGATAAATTATCTTATGTGTCAGTGTTTCTTTTCCCCTAGGTACTGTCCAAGAAGCTGGGACACTGCTATCCAGTAAGAATGTTCGTGTCAACTGTTTGGATGAGGTAAAATAAAGAACGTGACTGGCATGCCGTGCCGGCTCTCCCCTGGGGCGCATTGAGCTGGCGATGGAGACCAGGCGTGGTGGCGCGTGCCTGGAATCCCAGCACTTGGGAGGCTGAGAACAGGAGGATCACTACGAGCCCGATCAAGTAGTGAGACCCTGCAGACCCAGTAACAAATACATAAAAAAAAAGAACATTAATAAAATATTTCCTGTGAGATGTATAACATATAAAATAAACAATAAGAATTGTCTTCTATTTAGGTTGTAATCTTTAAACCAAATATCAGGATACGGGTCACAAAAGATAAAAATTAAGCATCTGAAAGCATATTTCTTTATTTAGTGTAGGGTCTCACTACGCAGCTCAAATTCATAGTGAGCCTCTGGTTTTCAGCCTTCCCCAGCGCTGGGATTGCAGGTGTGCACCACCATGCCCAGTCTCAGTGGCCAGTGGGGCATGTGGTGCTGGGGATTGAGCCCAGTCCCCGTGCTGTCCACTGAGCTATTTCTGCTGGCTCCGAAAGCATATTTAATCTTACTAAGAGTCAAGTAAGTGAAGATTAAGCAACAGCCCTATCGTTTCCTTTCAAATATGTTATACTTGATTTTTTGTATGCTAATGACTATTTGTATTATACTGTTTTATAAAGGAAAATTTAGACAGTTTCAAATTCATTTAGTATGATCGATGGACTTGAAAATAAAAATATAAAAATAATGAAATACATTTGGGAGATTTTTAGTTTAAATGTTAGGCTAATGAAATACAAATGACTACTGTATAGAATTAAAAATACAGTATATCAAAAGCAACAGTTTGTTAAAAGCTTTAGGTGGCTGAAAGCCACATTTATTTATTTTATTTTTATTTATTTATTTTTTGCAGAACCAGGGATTGAACTCAGGCCCTTGCGCCTGCTAGGCAAGAGCTTATTCTACTGAGCTGTCTCCCCAGCCCCTGAAAGCCACAGTTAAAAAACACTTTGCAGCATTTATCATTTGTACTTTCACCACGTTTATAAATAATATGTGGTGAGGAACTTGTAGCGAGAGAGTATACTAAAAACTTCTACAACTCAATGATAAAAAGACATATAACAGCTTATAAATGGGCCATTTATAAGCTGTTATATGTCTTTATCTGAGTAGATGTTGTTCCAAAGAAGATAAGTAAATGGTTAATGTCTACATGAAAAAAACCCTAACATCTTTACCACTGGAGAAATATAAATGAAAGTCACAGTGAAATACTATTTCACATGCATTTAAGATAGCTATAATACCTTT